GAACTCACAGAGATCTGCCTGCCTCTGCCTCCCAAGTGCTGGGATTAAAGGTGTGTGCCACCACACCTGGCTGATTTGTATTTTAAAAAATATTTTATTTTATTAAAAATTTTAATTTTTTTGCTACACTTGGAATTGAACCTAGAAACTTGGGCATACTAGGCAAGTACTTTACTGCTGAGCTATATCCTCAGTCCTTTTTTCAACTTTTTATTTTGAGGCAGAGTCTCACCATGTTTGGCTTTGAACTCACTCTGTAACCCACATCAATCTTGAACTTGAAATCTTTCTGCTCAGCTTTATGAGTTGCTGGGATTGTAGGTTTATGCCACTAGGCCCAGAAATTGTGCCACATTTTGTTCATCCATTTATCTGTCAATGGATACTTGTGTTGTTTCTACCTTTTGCCTGTTGTGAATCATACATGCACACAGATATACACACAAAATAAATGAATAAATAAATAAGCAAATAAGTAAATGTAAAACAAAATTAAATCCAGGGTCCAGTATAGTCACACACACACCTACCTGTAGCACCAACTCTTTGGAGGTTGAGATAGGATATCACTTGAACCTGAGTTCAAGACCAACTTGGGCAATACAGTAAGACCCTGTGTCAAGAAAGGAAAGAAAAAAAAAAGAAGAGAGAAGAAAAAGGAAAAAGAGAAGACTGATTACTTATCCCTTAATTTTACACATTGTCTTATCATCAAACTTCTTAAAACTTAAATTCGGTCCCAGCACCTACATGGCGATGACGCCCTCTTCTGACATCTGCGGCATTGCATGACACGGGTGCACTCACATACATGCAGGCAATACACTTATACACATAAAATATAAATAATAAAATATTAAAAAAAAAACAGCTGGGCGTGGTGGCACACGCCTTTAGTCCCGGCACTTGGGAGGCAGAGGCAGGTGGATCCTTGTGAGTTCAAGGCCAGCCTGCAGAGTGAGTTCCAGGCAGCTGGAGCTACAGGGAAACCCTGTCTCAAAAAGACCAAAAGGGAGTGCATTTTCTCCTTAATAGACAATTTAAGAATGGTGGCACCTATTTGTATCCCAGAACTCCCCGTGAGTTCTAGGAGTTCTAGACCACCCTGGGCTATTATGAGTGCCAGGCCAGTCAAAACTGTATAGCAAGGCTCTATCTAAAAAAAATAAAGAGTAGTAAAGATCTCAGAGTGACAGATTTCATATGATGGGAGGAAAAAAGTAACTTTCAGATGTAGAGCCTTTAAAACACAGATGCTTTGTGTAAATAGAGTTGGAAAATTACTGTGAGTGGGTTCTTTGTGTGTAAATGTTTCTTTTAGCTTATCCATGCAGGATCTGGAAAGGAAAGCCACTTCTCTTTCATCAGTCACGAGGTACAGGACAACAGTGTCATTGATGCATTGAGAAGAGAGTTGGGTTCCAAATATCTTGAAGGAATCTAGATGAAGGGAGAGACTGCCAGCACTTTGCCTCAGTTTTTCTGACGAGGGCTTCTGTCACTCTGAGTGTTTGGCTCCCCAGCTTTCCTCTTCTGGTCTGGCCATATGATATGTGTCCCATATTCATAAATAAATTTCTGGGGTTATTACTATTTCATTGAGTTTCTGGGGGGGTTAAAATTAAAGTAGATTGTGAAATAATGCTCCGTAAGTCCATAGAGAGTTGTGCATTGCAAGTTCCTGTTGTGCCAGATCTAACATTAAATCTTTTAAAAAGGTTTCATTTATTTATTTATTTATTTATTTATTTATTTATTTATTTATTTATTATGTGTGTGTGTGTGTGCACTTGGGTCATGTTGTGCCTGTGGAGGTCAGAGGACAACTGGTGGGAGTCAGTTTTCTCCTTCTAGCATGTAGATCCTGGGGCTCAAACTCTGGTCATCAGGCTTGGCAGCTAGCACCTTTACCCACTACACCATCTCACCAGCCCAAAACTTTTAAAATAAGATTTTATTTTTAATTATGTGTATGTATACATGTCTGTGTGTGGGTATGTGCATTTGAGGACAGGTGCCTGTGGAGGACAGACGTATCAGATCCTTCTAGAGCTGGAGTTACAGTTGGTTATAAGCCTCTAACATGAGTGCTAGGAACTGAACTCAGGTCCTCTGCAAGAGCAGTACATGCTCTTAACCACTGAGCATCTCTCTGCCCCCCACATTTATTTATTTTTAACTGGAAACTGAGGAAGTCTTTGGGTCTTTGTAATTTTTTTTTCCTGCTGCTTCATTTGTAATTCCACAGCAGCAAACTCAGACATCTCAGTGGATAATTGAACTTCTTTGGAATAAGACAATGTATTTTCTCTCTGGTAATATCATTTTGCTTCTAGTGAAATCACATTTATAGAGGAAACATCAATATTTATGCAATGAAAGTATTATAATTTTTCAAATAGAACCTGTGACATATGCTTTGAAGCAAGGAAATAATATTTACATGAATAAAATAAATTGAATTCTGCATTAGACAGTTGCTTCTAGGAATATGGGTATATGGGTAATAGTGTGAGTAATGTGACCCATGTTTGTTGTATCCAACTAGAGAATGCTTAAATGATTGTGTTTGAGTTACTACAGTATTAGCGCTAAAAGATTCACTGACCTCTGTTAACATGCTCTCTCTCTCTCTCTCTCTCTCTCTCTCTCTCTCTCTCTCTCTCGATGTTAACATGCTCTCTCTCTCTCTCTCTCTCTCTCTCTCTTTCCCCTCCCCCTCCCTCTGTCTTGTGTGCAAGCTTAAGATCCAATCCAGGGCTTTGTGCATAACAGGCGAGTGTTCGTGAGCTATGCTCAAGCCCTGTTTTTTTCTTTTTTAAAATTTATTATTTTTATTTTATGTGTATGCGTGTATTGCCTACATGTAGGTAAATGCACCCGTGTCGTGCAATGCCCAAAGAGGATAGAAGAGGGTGTTGGGTCCCCTGGAACTGGAGTTACAGACAGTTGTTAGCTGCCATGTGGGCGCTGGGATTCGAACCCAGGTCTTCTGCAAGAAAAACTAGTGTTATTAACCACTGAGCCATCTCTCTAGCCCCCAAGCCCTGTTTTTTCTTAGAGATACTTTTTTTTTTTTTGGTCTTTTTGAGACAGGGTCTCCCTGTAGCCCCAGCTGTCCGGGACCTCACTATGTAGACCAGGCTGGCCTTGAACTCACAGAGATCCGCCTGCCTTTGCCTCCTGAGTGCTGGGATTAAAGGCATACGCCACCACGCCCAGCAGAGATACATTTTTATGGTGCCTGGAGGAAGCTAAAAGTATGTCAGTTTAGTGTCTTATAAAGACAGTTTTATAGCTCATTGTTATAAGGCTTATTCATATTTTTTTGCCACATTTGAAATCCACAGAATGGATTATTTATTTTTGTTTTTTAACTTTGAGACAGTCTTACTATATAGTTCTAGCTGGCCTGTAATTCACTATGTAGACCAGGCTAGCCTTGAACTCAAAGATCACCCGCCTCTGCTTCCTGACCACTGCTGGAATTAAAGGCGTGCATCAGCACACCCTGTCGGAAGAGACTTTTTTCTTCTAGTATCCTGACTCACAAGTGTTGGCCATAAGGAACTAGCCTAAAAAATTTCCCTTATTAGCCAGGTGTGGTAGCTCATACTTGTAATCCTAGCACTTGGGAGCCTGAATCAGGAACATTGTATGAATTTTAGGCCAGCTACATAGTGCGTTCCAGACCATTCAGAAAATATGTAGCAGAACCCTGTCCAGCCTTGCTGGAGGTGATGGCACATACCTGTAATCCCAGCATTTGGAGGTAGAGGCAGGAAGATGAAGTGTTCTAGGTCATCCTCTGGTATATGCCAAGTCTAAGGCCAATCTGGGCCTGAGTTATATGAGACTGTGTCTCAGCTCCCCCTCCCCACAAATATAAACAACCTACAAAAATGAAAATAAGCAAAAGACATGGTTTCTTGACTATTACTAACATTGTTTTTCTGGTCAGCTTAATATGGAGCAATTTTGGTCTTGGATGAAATAAATTAATTTTCATAACAGAGTGAGACTAATAGAAGTTTCTAGTTTTTTGGTTTTTTTTTCTGTCTTTTTGAGGCAGGGTCTCCCTGTAGCCCCAACTGGCCTGGAACTCACTATGTGGACCAGGCTGGCCTGGAATTCATGGGGATCCACCCATCTCTGGGTGCTGGGATTAAAGGTGTGTGCCACCCCACACAGTATGGTGTTTTTTCCTTAAAGTCCCAGTATGTAGCCTAGGCTGGCCTTGTCTTCACAATCCCCCTGCCTCAGCCCAATATTTATTTTATCTTAACTGGTACTGAAACATTCTGGTATGTTCTAGTATGTGGAGACTTTCACACCCTTTTCTTAATGCATTTAACTTCTAGGTGCGACACCGAGCCTCCGGTCAGGTGATGGCTCTCAAGATGAACACACTGAGCAGTAACCGAGCAAACATGCTGAAAGAAGTGCAGCTCATGAACAGACTCTCCCATCCCAACATTCTTAGGTAATGGATTTTCTTTCTTCCAGGGTCAGTAAGAAAGCTTTGAAATTATTGGGGGCTGGCTAGAATCAAACTGACAGCTGAAACAGGAGATTTGGGATTTATATTGAAGGAAAATTTGCTGGGGTTTGGCTGTGCTCTAGGTCTTTTTTTCCCCATTAGGACTTAATTTTCTGCTATTTAATCTTGTAACTTCCTTTTCTCAAGTCACTTTATTCTCATTAGAATATTAGTAGTAGGCCATTAGAATAATTGTTTCCTACTGTGATTAGTAATTTGTCAGAGATAAAAAAAACTTCTATGTGGTTAATTTTCTTAATTGATTTTGAGTAATTATAATTAAATCCACGAATAAAAAAATGATAGCAAAATGATGTCCTAAAGTGATCCACCTTAAACTAGGAGCAGTCACTTGAGGAGACACAGTTTTCTTTTGAGAATTATTTTTATATATAAAAAGGTTAGGGTTGGTGAGATGACTCAGCCAGTAGAGGAGCTTGCAATCAAAAGCCTGACACTAAGGCATAAGACCTGAATTTGGTCTCTGGGTCCCAAATGGCAGAAAGAGAAAATACATTCCCATAAGTTGTCCTCTGATCCTGACCTCCACATGAGGGCCATGGTATTCGAGAGGATGCACACTTGTGCACACACACACACACACACACACACACACACACACACACAAAATGTAATCAAAATATATTTTTGGAAAAAGTTATATATAGTGCTGGCATGGTGGTGCACATCTTTAATTTCAGCACTTGGGAGGCAGAGGCAGGCAGATCTTTGTAAGTTCGAGGCCAGCCTGGTCTACATAGTGAGTTCCAGGCCAGCTGGGGCTACAGGGAGACCCTGTCTCAAAAAGACCAAAAAAAAAAAATTGCTTACTCTTAGGGCTGGATATCTCAGTGGTTAAGAGGACTGGTTGCTCTTGTAGAGGACCCGGGTTCAATTCCCAGTACCCACATGGTGGCTAACAGTCATCAATAATTCCAGTTCCAGGGGATCTGATGCCTTCTTCTGACCTCTGTGGGCATTACACAACATGGGTGCACTTACATAATCCAAGCAATACACTCATACACATAAAATTAAAATAGTAAATAAAATATTTTAAAAAATTGCTTACTCCGGCTGGGCATGGTGGCTCGTGTCTTTAATCCTAGAAGAGGCAGGCATGTCTCTGTGAGTTCAAGGCCAGCCTGGTCTACATAGTGAGTTCCAGGCCAGCTGGGGCTACAGAGAGACCCCATCTCAAAAAAAAGAAAAAAAAGACAAAAAAAAAATTGCTTACTCCCCATGTTACCACTGATCATGCCGGGTCTCAGGGAAAGCTGATATATTGACATTTATATGTCTCAAATGGTCCTGGGAAGTAGATGCCTACACAGGACCTTTCATCCTCTTCTTTCTTGCCTGGTATCCCTGATAGTAACACATTGTGTATGTGCGTGTGTGCGCACGTGCATGTGTGGTGGCCAGAGGTTAATGTCTGGTATATTCCTCTATTGCTTACCACCTTATTTGGGGGGTTATTTCACTGCACATGGTTCTCTTACTCTACCTAGAACTCACCTAGGCTATGAATAAAAAATCTACTTGGCTCATAATGACAATAATGAGGGCCATTTTGTTGAAGGCTTGTTGGATGCTGGTGCTTTACTTATTTAAACAGTAGAAGCCAGTCATGGTGTTACATGCCTATAATTCTAGCACTCGGAAGGTGGAGGCAGGAGGATCAGGAATTCAAGGCCAGCCTAGGTTATATAGAAAGTTCAAGATCAGCCCTAGGAGGTATATGAGCTGTGTGAGACTCTTTCTCAGAAAAAAAGAGAGGAAGGAAGGAAGGAAGGAAGGAAGGAAGGAAGGAAGGAAAGAAAAAGGTAAGGCATGGCTCAGTGGTTAAGAGCACTGGCTACTTTTCCAGAGGACCCCGGTTGGGTTTCCAGCATCCACATGGTAGGTAACAACAGTCCTTAACTCCAGTTCCAGGGGATCTGATGCCCTCTCTGATCTTCATGGGTGTTGCACACATGAGTACACTAATATACATGCAGACAAAACACTCATACATGTAACAGTATAAATAAAATAGGATTTAAGGATGAAGATATGACTCAGTGGTTAAGATTACTGAGTGCTCTTTCCAGAGGACCCTGATTTGGTTTCCAGCATCCACGTGGTAGCTAACAACAGTCCTTATTTCCAGTTTCAGGGGATTCAGTGCCTTCTTGCCTCTATGGGCCCTGCACATACATAGTGCTCTTAAATGCATGCAGACAAAACACATAAAATACAAATAAATAATTTTGAAGTTTTAAAAAAAGTCTTTGCCACCACCTTCCATTAAAGGAGCCAAGACCAAGATATTATGTACTGACCACAGCCTGCGACTCCCAGGCCTGGATTCTGTCTACTGGGCTTCTCTTAGATGAACTGAGGACTTGATAGGACAATACTGGTAGAAAGATAGAATTGTGACATGTTGTTTAGAAATGCTTTGCCTAAAGTTTCCAAGAAGCTTGTGTTTATGATTTTTTTATTTTAATTTTTTGTTTCTGTATTTATACTTTGTATGTTGGATTCTGGACAAGGGATAGCATGACAGGATAAATAATGACAAGGTATAAAATAGTTCAGCATTAGGGAGATTGGTAGCCAGGGGATCAGTTGGGAGTCTTCTACCATATATTTGAGAGTGAGGTAGAGAAGGTGTGATTTGATATTTTGCTTGAGAATTTTTTAAGGTAATAAATATATTGCTTTAAAATAATTTTTGTTGTTTTTTATTATTACAGAGATTATATATAGAAATATGTAAAACCACTATGGAAAAAGGAAATAGTTAATGAAACAATAACATATTGTCTTTAATCCTGGTAGTGGGAAAAAACTAGTAGTAACATTTCAGCATATTTTCTTCCATTTTTTTCAGCAAGAAATTTAATATTTTATTATATAGTATAACTTGTACATTAGAACCTAAAACTGTAAAATTACTAGAAGTCAATGGAAAAATCACCTTTAGTCTGGGAAATAGTAGGAATGGGCAACAAAAACAAAAATAGACAAATGAGTCAAGCATGGTAGCACATGCTCTTAATCCCGGCATCCAAGAAGTAAAGGCAGGATCTCCACAAGTTTGAAGCTAGCCCAGTCTACATAGTGAGTTCCAGGCTAGCTGGGGCTACATAGTGAGACCCTGGCTTAAATAACAATCATATACTTGTGCAGCCAATTAAACCAACCAAGGTCCTTTTCTCATCTGGCCTGGTGTGCAATAGCAGCAAACAGCAGCCTCTTTGCTAGTATATTCAGCCTGTTCCTTGCAAGGGTTGCCCTAAGTGACCTTCGAGACAGTTTTCTGATGAATAGTTATACCTCTGATCTCAATGCTGTCCCCAGCCTAGGTTCTAGGCAGTTATACAGGGTGCCTTTGGGAAGCCCTAGGGCATAGTGGCCAGGGTTCATATTGACCAGGTCATCATGTCCATCTGCACTGAGCTACAAAATAAGGAATACAGCAAGACAGAGTCTCAAACAAAGTGAGGGGAGGAGCTGTTCAGCAGTAGAGTACTTGTCTGGTACCCCGAGGCCCCATATTTGATCTCTAACCTGGAAAATATTTGTTTAAAAAAAGGAGAGGAAGCCGGGTGTAGTGGTGCACACCTTTAATCCCAGCACTCAGGAGGCAGAGGCAGGAGGATCTCTGTGAGTTTGAGGCCAGCCTGGTCTACATAGTGAGTTCCAGGCCATCTGGGGCTACAGGGAGACCATGTCTCAAACAAACAAAAAAATCAAAATAACTTAGTTATATGTACATGCATATGCCTGTGTATTGATGACATATACCTTTAAGCCCAGCACTCAGGAGGCAGAGGTAGGCAGATGTCTGTGCAATCAAGGCCAGCCTGGTCTACATAGGGAGTTCCAGGCCAGCTGGTGCTAGAGGGAGAGCCTGTCTCAAAAAAAAAAAAAAAAGAAGAAGAAGAGGTGGAGGAAGAAGAAGAACTAGAGAGATGTCTCAATGATTAAGATCACTTGCTGCTTTTCTAGAGGACCCAAGTTCAGTTCTCAATACCCATGTCAGGTGGCTCACAACCACCTGTGACTCCAGCTCCAGGGAATTCAACACCCTCTCCTGACCTCTGTGGGCACCTGCACATACATGGTATACACACACATACAAATAAATAAAAAAATAAATATAATTTTTAAAAAAAGGAGAGGAGAAAGATCTGAATAGACAGTTCTAAAAAGAAAAAGACATACACATGGCAATAGATTCATGAATGATGTTCAGCATCACCAGTTATTAAGGAAATGAAAATTAAAACAATGAGGCTGGGTATGGTGGCACACACCTTTAGTCCTAGCACTTGGGAGGCAGAGGCAAGTGGATCTCTGTGAGTTCCAGCCTGGTCTACATAGTGAGTTCCAGGCCAGCTGGGGCTACAGGGAAACCCTGTCTCAAAAAAGACAAAAAAAATTAAAACAATGAAATATTGCTTTTTACCTGTTAGAATTGCTGTTATTAAAAAGATGTGCCAGGCATGGTGGTACATGCCTTTAATCCCAGCACTTGGGAGGCAGAGGCATGCAAATGGAGGTACAGTACTTAAGCTTCCACAATCTCCCATGACGCAGAGGTAGTGGCCGTGCTTCTGAGACAGGGCAATAACACAGACACACACACACACACACACACACACACACACACACACAAAGCCAAATGTGGTGATGAACACATTTTAATCCCATCACTCAGGAGGCAGAGGCAGGCAGGTCTCTGTGAGATCAAGGCCAGCATATGGTCTACACAGGGAGCTCAGGACAGCTGGGGTTACAGCTCAAAACACAGCACAACAAAACAAAAAGTAGCTGGGCATGGTGACTCGTGTGTAATCCCAGCATTTAAGTCTGGACAAGAAGTTTGCTATAAATTTGAAGCCATCCTGGGCTATACGAGACCTTATCTCAACAAAGTAAAACTTCTAAGATTCAAGTATGAATATTGGGAAATTTACTTAATCTTTCTGAACCATAATTTCCCATCTGTAAAATGGTGATGAAGAGTAAGTACCCTGTAGAGTTGTTATCAAAGATAAAGCAGCTAGAGCACCTGGGTTGGGGTTAGGTTTCAGTAAGTGTTAGCTATTGTTAGTTTCTTTTCCTCTGACTGGTTCTTTCAGTGGCCTATTGCAACCTGTCTTTCATTCACCCCTCTGGCTCTCTTTCTTTTCTGAAACAGAGTCTCATATAGTCTAGACTGGCCTTGAACCCACTGTGTATCTAAGGAGGACCTAAACTCCTGATCCTCTTGCTACTACCTACTCACAAGTGTTGGGATTGCAGGTGTGTACCACCACACTTGGCTTTTGTCTTTTTTGAATGCATATTGTTGTTTTTAATACATTCAAGGGCTTTTTGCTAAACTTAAAGCTGTTCAGTAGCACTGTTCTGCAGAAAATGCCCTGTATTTGTGCTGCAAAATAGCCATGCATGGCTAATGAGTATTGAAATGTGGATAGTCCAAATAAGTGATTGAATATTTTGATTGATTTGGCTTGAATTTAATTTACCACATGAAATTTAAGACCTACCATTTTGGATAATGCTGGCTCAGAGTCTACGTATATCTTACTCTTTGTTTCATAAGATATATATATATATATATATATATGTTCCGTCCTAGAAGTATGTGGTGTTGTGATGATGAGACCAGTGTTACCCGTGCTAGTCCTTCTGATGTCCCTTTATGTACTCCCATTGTTGAGGAATGCCGCTCACCCTTGCTCCATTCAGTCTGTGCTTGGCAGTACAGGGGACTGAACCCATGGACTCCTGCATGCTAAACAAGCTCTCCACCATAAAGATGCACCCCAGTTCCTATAAATTACAAAAAGTATTCTTTTCTGTCACCTAATTTGTTTCTCATATAAACAAGAGTCTTACATTAAAGTCTCTCCTACAGGAACAATGACACATTAGGTATAATATATGAAAATTATAATTACTACTAACCATGGTGTGTTTGCATTCTGAAGTTAGAAGTTTTTGTTTTTCCTAATGTGTCTCAAAGATACAACAGTTTTAAAATGCCTAAAAGTGGTTTATACTTTAAAGACGCTTCAGCTGGGCATGGTGGCGCACGCCTTTAATCCCAGCACTTGGGAGGTAGAGGCAGGCAGATCTCTGTGAGTTCAAGGCCAGCCTGGTCTACATAGTGAGTTCCAGGACAGCTGGGGCTACAGGGAGAATCTATCTCTAAAAAGACCAGAAAAAAAAAGAAGAAGCTTCAAATTGTTTATATCTTTCATGATTTTGTATCTTTGCTCTCATTACATAGTTTGTATACAGCAAAAGACAGTTATGTTAAGTAGCCTCTTGGCTTTTGTTACCTTGAGGAATATTTTAGTGACAGAAACATTTCTTATTTTTCTCTAGTGCTCTTTTTTTTTTTTGTCCTTTTTTTTGAGACGGGGTCTCCCCATAACCCCAGCTGACCTAGAACTCACTATGGAGACCAGGCTGGCCTTGAACTCACCAAGATCCCCAACTCTGCTTCCTGAGTGCTGGGATTAAAGGCATGTGCCATCACGCCCGGCTATTCTTTAGGACTCTTAAATATCAAATTAAGCATGACTATGATTCAGTCTCAGAGTTAGAATTTATATTTTCAGGCTGGTGTGAAATGCACAGCCTGAAAATATAAATTCAGGGTATGCAAGGGTATGCAAGGGATTAAAGGGTATGGTAATGCACACCTTTAATCCCAGCCTTCCAGAGGTAGAAACAGGTAGATCTCTGTGAGTTGAGTCCAGCCTGATCTACATAGCATGTTCCACCAGTTGGCATCTCAAAAAAAATAAAATAAAATAATTTGTATATCCTAAGTGCTTCCTGTCGCCTTAGCAATTTACAGATAACACACATAAATATGCAGTTTTTAAATGTTTGATAGTATTTCTCTTAGTTATTTTCAAGCTGTAAATACTGTAAGCTCTTCCTTATTAGTGCAGAAACTGAGGCAGAAGTATGAACCAGAGTTTTTCTCTAGATTGAGATTATTAGGAAGACTCCATCTCTTGGAGCCCTGTGATTTTCATGGGTGTGCTTTATTCAAAAAAATTTTAAATTACATTTATTTATTGCTTGTGTGTGGGTGCATACATATGACATTGTGGCAGTCAGAGGTCAGCTTGCAGGAGTTGGTTCTCCCCTTCCACCATGTGGATCTTGGGATTCAAACTCGGGTTATCAGGCTGGGTGGCAAGAGCTTTTACTCACTGAGCTATCTTGCTGGCCCCAGATGTGCTTTCTTGGCAGGGAGCTCTGGGCAGAAGGTTGCTAACCAATTATTTCTTAGTTTCATATAGCTAAAATAGCTCAATTTTTTTATCTGTTCTATATCAAACCTCTGTGTAAGAGGGTTTTATTTTTTATTGTGCCTAATAATAATAATAATAGTGATTTTTAAGGATTGAGCTCAAGGGCTTCATGCATGGCAGGCAAGCACTCTACCAACTGAACTATATTCCATCCCTGTTTGTTTCCTTTTTAAAAAATGTTTTTATTTATTATTTTTATTTTATGTGTATGCATGTATTACCTGCATGTAGGTAAGTGCACCCATGTCGTCTAATGCCAGAGGAGGACAGAAGAGACTGTCGGATACCCTGGAACTGGAGTTACGGACAGTTATTAGCTGCCATGTGGGTGCTGGGATTCTAACCCGGGCCTTCTGCAAGAGCAGTCAGTGCAGAAAGCAGGCCATATGTGAGACCTGCTAGATAGTGGACATTTAATCCTCGGACATCCCTGGTTCTCTTCTGCCAGAGCTAATGTGTGCCCATCAGGAGAGAGTGAGCTAAGCTTTTAGAGTGTTTTCTTTTTCTTGACTATGACCTCTTTACTTCCTTTTTTTTCTTTTTATCCTCCTCCACTTTCTACTTAAAAAGAAAAGAACATGGGGCTGGAGAGATGGCTCAGTGGTTAAGAGCACTGACTGCTCTTGCAGAGGACCTGGGTTCAATTCCCAGTACCCACATGGTAGCCGAGAACTGTCCCTAACCCAGTTCCAGAGGAATCCAACACCCTCTTCTGACCTCTGCGGCATTGCACGACATGGGTGCACTCATATACCTGTAGGCAATTCACTCATACACATAAAATAAAAATAATAAATAAAATATTAAAAAAAGAAAGAAAAGAACACCTGGGTGTGGTAGCATAGGTCTGTTAATCCCAGCATTTGAATAAATAAACACATAGCATCTAGACAGATGACAGATAGATAGATGACAGATAGATAGATGACAAATAGATAGCTAGATAAAAATTGTGGGCTGCAGAAGTCATA